ATAAGAGACAGGGGTGTAACAAAACATTACTTAAACACTTAAGGAAGTGTCTCTCCTCCCCCTTCCTCAAGCTCAGTCTAACACCTCTCCTCCCTGCCTCTGTAGTCTCAGTTTCCCTGGTTTTCACTGAGTTGTGCTCGGCCTGTGCCAGTTCTCGCTGTGAGGCGACAGATCCCACGGAGCTGGGCTCATATCGTGCTGGCTTCTCTGACCCTCTGCGTTTCTTAGTGGGTGTCCTCGGCTGGTCGGTGTCCCTGCTGGTGGTGATGCCGCCCCGTAGTCCCTTCAGGGATGTCCCTCATCCAGCCTGGGGCTCCTGTGGGCCTCGGAGGGTCCCTGCTCTGGCATGGCTTCTCTACAGGCCAAAGTCCCTCGGAAGTGACTCCTCAGGCGTGGAGGGTGTCCTTCTGTGCCTGCTCTACGGGTCCTCAGTCTCTTCTCCACGTGTTCTCCCACGAGCAGCTCTGCAGTTCCTCTGTTGTGTTCCCAGATGTGTCCCCAGGAGTGTCTTCTCGTGTGTCTCCCCACACCTCCCGCCAGCAGCAGCCACTCTCTCTTAACCACGTTTGGGCAGCGGCACCGTGCACACCTCTGGTGGAGGTTTTGCCATGTGGCGGGATGTTCACACCCATTTCAGAGCAGGCTGGAGCCCCTTTGACCAGCACAGGGCAGTTCACAACCTCTTGGCACACGTCACCCTTGCAGCCCCCGGTACCAAAACCCCGCGGTTCCCAGCCAGCTTGGGCATAGGCAGTGAACCAGGGCAGGCAGGTGCAGCTTCTGCCGAGCTCTTTGCTATCGGAGTGGTCTTGTTCAAGAGACAAGAAATTACTTCCTGTTGTGGGGAGGAGGGAAGCGATCCATATATATATATATATATATATATATAAGAAATATGAATGCATATGTATATGATGAATTTCATTAATCTTCCCTTAAGCTTCATCACCTTCAATGATACAGCTTAGAAACATCTGTGCATTTTTATATTGCTCGCTGTTGGCTGTAGTAAAGTGAATGTCGTCTGAAACCAGAACCATTGTACACACAGGAGGCTTTGAGAATTTTCTGCTACTGTGAAGCCACTCAATTGTCCTGTCAGTGGTAAGAACACTTAGTGATACTACAGCAAGGTTCCTTTTCATTCCATTTTGTAACTAAGATGTTAATTACCATGGAATCTGTGTAACTGCCATTCTGAAAAACTCAACTGTCAGCAGGGTTAAGATCTCTGCTTCGGTGTGTGTCTGACCCTTCTGAGGGAGGAGGTTCCTATTTCATACACCGCTGTTGGTTTTATTTTCATTATGTTTTATCTTTTAAACATTACCTTGTTTGTTTTATGGGTGAGCAGGTAGACTCTAGAAGGTACTGTCAGTACAATTTTTGGTCTTAGCTTTTTTTCATCTGAGGTGTTTCTGGGATTGAGAAGCTTTGTCCTGTGTCAGAAGCAAGGCAGATGGTTGAAAGCTGACGTACTGGGGTTCTCATAAAAAGAATACTTGATGTCCCTGTATCAGTGAGCCTGAACGAAGGAGGTGCGTCAGGTCTTGCAGTCTCAACACTCTTGCACTGGTGCTGGAGAGGCGGCCTGTCTGAGTGATGAGAGCCTACAGCAGTATATGGAGTATTTTGCTTTAACAGAATTAGAATGTTTCTCAAAACAACAAAGCTGGTTTTCGTCATTGGAACGCTTCGTTGGATAGCTAGGCTTCTTTAGCTATAAGCTGTAAACTGTCAGTGCCCGAGGGGAAGATGCTGGAAAACAAAATGGTATATTTTTAAATGTGATTAAATTGTAAGTTCCGATTATTGCTTGAAGCCTGTGTCTGTTGATTGCTGCTCCTTTTTTTCTTATTCATGGGATTCCATATTTCTTCCAGAAATGTAACTGTTTATGCAAGTCAAGTGAATCTTCCTTAATGAGCTATAAGTTTTTATTCTAAACAAGTCATTTATAATAGTAAATTTGCATATCTTGATATTTTGTGAGATGTTATGCCTGTATTGCAGAGGTTGGATAGTTTTGTCTATAAATATTGCTGTCCTAATTGTACAGCATGGTTTTAATTTAATGTTACTGTTCAATATTTTCTTCTTATAGAAGAGTCCCATGCCCCTTTTTTGTATAACATGTTTTAATAAATGTTATCTGTCAACTTTGTAAATGTTTTCTTAAGCTTGAATGAAAGGAATGCATGTCTAGTACTAGTATTTAATATTTCACTTTTGCCAAAACGATAAGTGCTCAAACAAAAGTACAAATCCAAAAGTTGTTGATATATAACTTTATTAAATATATAAAGAAAAAGTATCTAGTAATGTGTCGTCTTGAAATGCTGAGAACATGCCAGCCTAGCCTAAGAAAACACTAAACTAAGAACTGATCTTTAACAGACAGTAAGCTGATGAATTTGTGGAATTGGGCCCAGTTCTTTGGTGTTGGGGAATTAGTTCCCATGTTAGTCCAAATTTATCAAACAGGTTTTATTATTAACTGGTGGTTTGGTTTTGTTGGGTTTTTTTTTCAGAATAGTTATTTCTAAAGTTACAATACAGAATGTAAGGCTGATAAGAAAATTCCAGAACACTCACTTCATAGCAGCAGCAACTGCATGTCCAAAATGCCTGCAGGTAAATTTGAAGTAGGGATGGGTATTGTGTAGATTTTTTTTTTTTCTTGACAAAGTATGAAAGAAATTTCATACTGTGAAAAAGTATTAAAGATTAAGTCTCCATTATCTTCCTGTGAGGATTCCTCCTCTCCCTGGTTAAATGTAGATACTCCTGGTGAGCAGTGTCCTTTGTCACCTCAGCCTGTTCGCTTCTCGCTCGGCGGCTGACGCTCGCGCCTCAACAAGAAGTGGTCTCGCCCTGCTGCAGAGCGCATCCAGCGCCCTCCGGAGAAGCCCCCGTGTGTGCCCACGCCGCGGCGGCTCCGGGGGAGCGTGGCTCA